TCCACAAATGGTTAGGATATATAAAATAGTTAATAGGTTGGAAAACCCATCCAATAAAAATAGTTAAAGCAGAACAGGGCAAAATTATTATTTTTGAATTATTTCACACTGGGGCTTTTGGCTGGTAGGCCAGGAGCTGTCCAGTTTCAAAGCATCCTAAAACAGTGGGATGAAGTGGTAAAGCTTCTTCTGGATGGTGCCACTTGAAGGTCCAAGAGATCCGTGTTTATTTGAAGGTCTTACAACAGTGAATGAATGTCCTACTACGCAAATGAAAAGCAGTGTCCCAGAATGAAAGCTATGATGAGCGACTGACCTTCACATGCTGGAAAAGCTTTTCATAGGGAAGCATTCAAACACACAACCTCTTTCTCCTTCCCCTGAAATCTGAAGTGGTGTGTGTGTGTGCATTTTCTAGTTGCCTGCCAACTTATGGCAACCCCATGAATTTGTCTTTTCCTATTCAAGGAATACTCAGAGGTGGTTTTGCTAGATCCTTCCTCCAAAATATCATCTACAGTGCCCAGTATTCGTTGGTGGTCTCCCATTCAAGTACAAACCAGGGCTTGACCCTACTTGGCTTCCAAGATCAAATAGGATCTGGTGCCTTTAAGGCAGTGATTCCCAAACTTTGGTCCTCCAAGTGTTTTGAATTCAACTTCCAGAAGCCCCAGCCAGCTTGGCCACCGGTCAAGAATTCTGAGAGATGAAGTTCAAAACATCAGGAAGACCAAAATTTGGGAAGCACTATTTTAGGGTACTTAGGCCCCTGCAGTGGTAATGTCCAAGAAAAACTTTATCATCTGATTGCAGAGACTGGATTTATTTTTTATTATAGAAGGGGAATAGAGAGACGCAAGCAATAGGTTTGCGGACAATTGACCTTTTGGACATGGTATATTTATTTCAGATTCTCTTTCCTCACAGCTTGTGACAAAAAAATATGTGGTAAGTCAATCTCATGCTTCTTCTGGGTATTTGAGGCAGATTTGGGGTTGGAGAATATGGCAAATGAATGCTAGTGTGGTGAGAGCATGGGATGTGGTTGGAGAGGTATTCAGAAAAGCAAACTATACTGAGCTGAGAAGTCTCATGTGAATGTGAATGACTGGGGGCTTTCTGGAAAAAAACTGTGGTATAATTACTGCTATCTCCAAAAGAGCTGAAAAGAAATTGGGGTTGTTTTGTTTTGTTTTTTGGCTTACATCTGCTAGCTAGATTCTTTCTGTAGCCATTTTGGGGATAGGGTTGTGGTTTAAACCAAAAAAACTAAAATTTCCAAGCGCAGTGTCCTTGTTATTATTACTATATTTTTTAACCCCAGAGAGAGGCTCTTTTAGGACTTCCTGCTTGTACAATGTCGCTTGATATAGGATTACATTTATTGTTCCATGGCTGCATCCTCATGGCTGAAATAATTCTGGAATTCCATATCACTGAGCTATGGCAGTTAAAGTAGTGTCAAACAGGATTATTTCAGCCGTGCGGATGGAGCTTATCTCAGGTAGCATAATGTCTTGGACCTGCTTCATACAACTTCTTAGGGTGCCAGGCTGTAGCATGGCATTTGAGTCAAGGGGGTAACCATCTATTCAACTGGTGAAACAGAATGTATGAAGAGTTCATCTTCATCTGTTAAACTTTTCAACATGACTTGCTCTGTGTTCACGTTTGCATTTTTGCAAACAATTGATGGAAAACTAACATAATTAATGCTGGGACTGAGCTAATGGAGGAGAAGGGGTCCAAATATGTCAGGCAACAATGCCAGGCAACGTTACTTTCCAAACAGCAGCCCCCAGAATTCCCCTGCCATCATGGCCAATGACTCTACTGGCTGGAGGACTCTGGGAGTTGTTGTCCCCAAAGTAATGTCTCCAAGCTCTAGGACCCACCCTGTAAGTCATCAGTCTTCTCAAAAGAACACAGCCCATGCACCTGGTTTTTGGAAGTTTGTAAATCTGGGGGGGATAAAGAGTTTTGGAAGTAGACTCAGGTGGAGGCCTAGTTCTGCAAACATTTATAGGATCAGGATTATTTTATGGCTTGGTGTGACTTATACTTTCTTCTTCCATCCCATTCCTGGCTTGCTACTCTTTCAGCCTTCATGAACTATCAAGTGTTTAATTGCAAAGGATGCAACACGATCGGCCCTTACTGCATGACACTAAGCCAGTGCTTTGGTAGGTACTGCTGGAAATATGTGGGCGAGCAATGAGTGTGCAAGGGAAGGCATGAGATTGCATGTGGCAGAGAAGTAGATTATGGAAAGATGGTGTGCCTCACTCAGTACTTGATGGGATTTGTCTCCCTCAAGATGAAGGTAATAGAAAAATAAAGTTGGCCCATCACAAGAATGGCAGAAAATAAGGTCTCTTATTGTTCAGATCAAAGTGAAGGACCGACATGGAATTTTTTTTTTATAAGGATCAAGCCTTGTGATTAGAGTTGCTATCACTCTCTTCCACAAAATTAGGACAAAAGTATGCAGGACAAAAAACCCTAAAAAAGCCCCCACAACACACCAATCCAAACCATACTTTGATATTTAACATTGCATGCAGTCAGCCCCCCATATCCATGGTTTCAAATATCCATGGCTTCAAAATATTCCAAAAATATACAAATGCCAAAAAAGAAACCTTGATTTTGCTATTTTATATAAGGGATACCATTTTACTATGCAAGTCTATATAATGGGACTTGGGCGTCCACGGATTTTATTATCCAAGGGGGTCCTGGAACCAAACCCCAGTGGATATACCAAGGGTCCACTGTATTTCAGTTGTTGTTAATTTATATATTGCCATCAATTTACATTCTGGGATTTGTAGTTTGTTGCTTCAACCTGCTCGGCTGGCAGGGACATTTTTCAAACCCTACAATCTGGGATTTTCCTAGTTTTCTGGGACAAATGGTAAGCCTACTCCTGATGCTCTTAAGCTGTATGAATAATTTGTTTCCCTCTCCTGTGATTTCCTCCTCTGGCCAGTACTAAATATGAATGTTCATGGGTTTTTCCATGTCCTGTAGAGGACAGCCCATACTCATCTGTGTCAAAGAGAGGGTCACAAAAATGACCACAAATTAACATTTTATACACATACACTCTGCTTTGATGTCTACACAAAGTCATGACAGTTGGGTGGTGCTTCAAGGGTCCCTGAACATTTCAGTCCCACAAGATCAAAAAAACTTTGCCTCTGCCACATTGGAAGGCTTCAACTTCAGTGTTTCCCAATCTGGCACCCTTCATATGTGTTGGAATACAAGCCCCACCTTTCCCATCCAGAATAGCCATTGGGAATGATGGGAGTTGTACTTTAACATATCTGGAAGATGCCAAGTTGGGAAAGGCTGCTTACGTCCCTCAGGACTGAAGAAATGTCAAGCCTAAAGAAATATCTCTCACTCTTTCTCTGTGTGTGTGTTTGCATGACTAACAAAAGAGGATTATATTTGAACATTATGGCAAAAAGCTGTTAAAAAAAAAGCTGTATCAAATGTGGCACTTGCAGAATACAAAATAGACAGCTGATGTTAGATGCTGTTCAAAAGTGGACAGCTGATCTTGGATACTATTGTGTTAATTACAGCAATGAAGTACTAGAATGCCAAATCCATATATTCAGAAATTCCTCCTTTTCTCAAATAATCTTGCATCTAATGACATTTCTATTCTAGTCACAGACAAATCAGACAGGCTGTGGTCCTCTAAATTAAAACATCTGGGCTCTGGTTGTGCTACTGTGAATTCCTTACCAGAAAATTAGAATAATCAGTGGCCAGGCATTGTAACTCAGAAGGCCATGGCGTATCTGTAGGGAAGGTAGGGTAGGAGAGGAAAATTTGTGTGCGCACAGTGTGTGTGTCTGTGTGTGTGTGAGAGAGAGGTGCATGTGCACATCTGCAGACTGCTCTCTGTGTACAGATGTGCAGATGCACATTAGAGCAGTAGAGCTTATAGAGGTACCTATGCTGTAAGTGACCCTCAAGTCCTTTTTTGCATCCCCCCAGAATTTGTACAATAAAGCACTGTATGTTGAATCAGAAGGACAATATTTTCTCAGAAAGTTTTACCACAGCCCTGTGAGGGAAGTCATGGTTGAAAAGCCAAGTGTCAGTGGCTGGCCCAAAACGTTGGGGTGGCATTTAAAGCCCTAAATAGCTTGGGACCTTGATCTGTGAGGAAGCGCTTCTCCCTAGATGTGCCTGCCTGAGGACTGAGGTCCAAGGTGGCCATCCTCTCTCACACCAGTGAGATCAATACTCTATGTCAGGGATAGGCAACCTTTTTGAGCAGGGGGCCGGGTTGCTGTCCCTCAGACAATTGGGAGGCCGAAGCAAAAATAAATAAATTTTTTAAATTATTTTTTTTAAAAAATATGTGCATGCACACTCTCTCAGCCCCAGAAAAGCCATGATGGCAAAACCCCTGTGGAGATTTTGCCAAGAAAACCCCAAGAACAAGTAATAACAACAATAATCAATATCATCATGGCGGGCGGCTGTGGCAGCAGGGGTTGTCGGCGGCGGCGGCAGGACCAGCCTGGGGCCGGTCCAAAGGCCTCGGTGGGCCGCATCCGGCCCCCGGGCCGCAGGTTGCCTACCCCTGCTCTATGTTGAGAAATGGGAGAGGGCCTTCTCAGCCATAGCATCCCAATTGTGGAATGCATGGAATTTGTAGTTTGTTGTGGTGTCGGTGTTCTCTGACAGAGAAGACTAAATATGCCACAAAACTACAAATCCCCTAATTCCATAACATTGAGCCATGGCAGC